TTTTTCAAAATAAACGAAAACTATTTATTTCGTGCATCTCTGGTCCCTATTCCAAGAAATCGGGAATTTCCAGTTGGGGATGAGTATCCCAGCCCACGTAATCCCAATTTTTTAATATGCCTCTTACAAAATAATCGTGTTTTATGTATTATAAATATTTATTTTGTAAAAATTTTTCATAGAAAAAAGAATTTTTAATAATTTCGAACGATTATTGGGGAAGTATTTCCACATCTGCCAAAAATTCCGAAGCCCGCACCAATCGGAATGGGCACAAAAACAAGTGGCCAGTAAATACCAGAAAATAGAACGAGAATGATTGTCATGATTGAAACGACAAAACCTATAAATTTCGAGTTGACAAAGTTTATTTTGTTGAATAAAGTGAAAATACATATACTTTTTGAAACAAAAATTGAAAAAATTGCAGGGTTGTTTTTACCAAAACACTAAAATGGGGCGCAGCCACTCAAAAATAGGGCAAAAATAGGGCAAAATCGGTCAAAAATATGGCAAAAAATAGGGAATTATTTAAAAACAAAAAAATAATTAAAATTTTAAATAAAAAGCTTTATTCCGCATAGTCTCCACTAGTTTTAAATAAATAGAGCAGATCAGGATGAAGCTATTTCTAATCAAGTATATTTCGAAAATTCAAAATCTATAAATATCGAAATTGAAAATAGTTTCAAAAATCTTTGAAATCGAAAGTCGACAGAAAAATAACCATGAAAATCAGAACCGTGAGTCTCTCGTCTACCCTGTATTCTCCCTTTCAGCGCCGCAGGCGAAAATTTTTTCAAATTTTGATTTCTTAGAGGTCAGATTTCTTCCATTTTTAGCAAAATTTTGAGACTTTTGAAAGGTTAAGAAGCTAGATTTCTTCCTTTTTTAGCGCCGAAGGCGAAAATTTTGAGAAATTAAGAAGACCAACAGGAGAGATTTCTCTTTTTTCTGCGCCGCAGGCAAAAAATTTTTGGAATTTTGATGTCCAAGAGTTAGATTTCTTTGTTTTTTTCGCATTTTATTTGCAAAATCCCAAAAAATTTGAAAAATATTACAAAATGTTAAAAATAGGGCAAAATATGGAAAATATATAAAATAGGGAAAAAATAGGGCGAAAAGATCAAAAATAGGGAAAATCCTCTATAAATAAGGTAAAAAAACAACCCTGAAAAATTGTCTAGAAAACTAAGATTTTAACACATATTCGGACTCAGCACATTTAATTATCTGCTGGAAAAGCTCAAAAATATCGGAAAGCACTTCTTCCCGATTTTTTTCTAGATATGAAAATAAGAAAGAAATGAAGTATATAAGCTAAGTTTAAGCGGGGTTTCTATTAAAGAAGGTCGAGTCCCTCAAACACCCTCGCCAATTTTTAAGTCTCGGAACCTCGGCCTTGCGAGAATCTCGTTGATATGCACGCTTAAGATCTTTAAAATTTTGGATCTTATGCATTATTTCACACAACCTCGATAAAAATTTTAGTAAACTAAAGCAACACTAGACTAAAAGATTGCATCTAATAAAATAGACTCACAGAGAACTGCAAGTGTTCTCCACCAAAATAAACTTGACGGCAATTCGGGCATTATAGTATATTAATTTTTGCAGTGTGGCCACAAACAAAAAATTTTCTTTTAAGAATTTTCTCTCACAAACGTTTGTATCGATTCAAAAATAAATAAAGAAAAGAAGAAATAACAATAAAAAAGTATCGATTATTTAGTCAATGTTGGCCAAGTTTTATTGACAAATAATGCGCGTGAGTTACAAATAATGCGCGTGAGTTACAAATAATGCGCGTGAGTTACAAAATATTAAACGTGAGTTTAATATTTTTGATAATATTTTTGAACACAACTTACACAATAGTTTTTTTTGAAAGATACAAGAAGAAAACGTTGAAGAAATTGTTAATGAATTTAAAAAAATTTTAAATTCAACATGTTTTTAGAATAAAATTTAGAAATTTCGCTGTGATAATTATTATGTAAACTGACTGAGTGTACAGGGTGACATGAAATGTTTAGGACAAAGTATTTATGGCATACCTTATTCAAATTAAAGATAATGAGATCAAATAAAGCTTAAATGATAGAGAACTAAATATGGAATACATTGTCTATTGTACTGTGCTCTTTGGGACTTTCAAAAGAGATGGAATTTTGCGGACTGATTTTTTGCAAAAAATGTGACATTATAGAATTACGTTGACTAGCCATAATAGAGAATTGGGCCTAACTGCACTTTACCGGGGGATTTTAGATTTGAACAATTTATATGTCATTCGAAAGAGCTCGGCGAGCTGAGTCGAACGGCACCAAAATTAGCCCGCGGACTCAACTGTGGGCCGAGATATGGGTCCCCAAAAATCGAAAAACCATAGGGGGGACCAAGCTGATTTTTGGGGTGAAAAATTTGAATATGCAAATTATACCTCATTTAAAAGCTCTCGTCGAGCTGAGTCGAATGACAACAAAATCAGGTCTATTGAACAAGTTTGGACAAAGTTATGACACAAAAAAAAAACAACGTAAACCTATGGGGCGTCGGCGAGGCGCTTGTGCAAAACCCCGCGCTTCGCGCGGGGTTTTGCGGCTCGCGCCTCGCGTGGAGTCTACGGGAGCTGGGTCTGGGCTCGTAACATAAACCTATTCCTATCTCCCTTGCTCTGGACGTATTTGGGGCCTCAGTACAGCAAAAATCTCCCCAGATACCATAGGTAAGGAGCTAAAATAAAAGATCATAACTTTGTCAAATCAAGTCAGATTTCGTTGATTTTGGTGTCATTCGACTCAGCTTGACAAGCTCTTTCGAATGAGGTATAATTTGCATATTCGAATTTTTCACCCCCAAAAACAGCTTGGTCCCCCCTATGGTTTTTCGAACTTTAGGGATCTGTAACTCGGCTCGTAGTTGAGTCCGCGGACTAATTTTGGTGTCATTTAACTCAGCTTGATGAGCTATTTCGATTGACATATAAATCATAAAAATCTAAAATCCCCCGGTAAAGTGCAGTTTAGCCGAGAATTGAATAAGCTAAAAAAATAAGCCTAAAATGAATTAAAATTATTGACAATAAAAAAAGTTATAAGGAATTTAAAAGTGACCAATTACTTATGCCGCACCCTTAGTATTTATTTGCTTAATTATAAATTTTCAAAGAATTTTATGACATGACAGTTAATTTTCGACACAAAATAGGTTTGCTTATTTAAGCTCAATAAAATACAAATACAAACTTATAGTACATATTAAATGTAAATTATAAGCCTTTTCTAAAATTATTCAAGCATATTTTTCAATTATTTTTTGTTTAGCAAACAAGTATATGTACTTTTAAGAGAAATAAAATTTAAAGGTTTAGTACACTTTCTACAGTAATTCGCTATTTACATACAAAATGAACTTAAAAAGTGTCTCGTAAGAGAATCAAAAATGTGAGAAAATGTAATAATCTTATTGTAAAAATTTTTTTAATTATAAATTGTAGTCTTTTATTTGTAAATAAATATTTGTGTGTAAGTGAGAAAATTAACTTTTAATTGTAAAGGACATAAATTGTGACAGTCGTGTACTGCTTTTGTGTCGTTTAAAAATTTTAATTGGAATTTTCTTTAATTTCCGTTCAAATATTTTACTGATAAACAAAAATTGTGAAGAATTCAAATTTTACAAATTTCCTCAGAAAATATTAATTATCAAATTTTGAATTTTTTAATGGATATTTTTCCAAAAATTAAAAAGATTTTTCGGTTGACAAGAAAAATAGTTATTATTTTTGAAAACTGATGCGTTCTTTCGAATAAGAATTTTTAACAAAAAATCTATTTTAACGAAAACTATCAAAAATATGCCTCGATAGGTGAAAATAACTTCCTCGTTGAATAATCATTGAATAAAAAAACTAATAACTAATTAGAGCTCTCAAGATGAACATTTCAGGATTCATCATGAGAGGAATTCATCTTTATTTTTAATTTAAACATCTTATCCCTCTCATAATTCTATAAAAATTTCCTTATATTTGTTCAGTTTTTCGTTTTATACTAAATATAATAAATATGCTTCCCCCGAACGACCCGGTAAATAAATTATACAAATATAATTGTATAGAAGTAAAATTCAGGTCTTCAATTATTACAACTCTACTGGAACTCTTTACATATTAACAGCAAAATATAGCAGCATATTCTTTTTAAGCATTGTTGCATTTTTATTTAATTTTTTTATGGTATACACGACTTGGAAAAATAAGTATACCGTATTTGCTCTAGTAATCCCCCAGGGGGATTATTGTTTCAACCCATCTCTAGGGTGGGGGATTAATAGAGCCTAGGGGATTATTAGAGTGGGGTAGAAAGAGGGGGATTATTGTTTCAACCCATCTCCAGGGTGGGCGATTAATAGAGCCTGGGGGATTAATAAAGGACTGGGGGATTAATAGAGCAAATACGGTAGTAGCTTTAATAATTAATAAAATTAAGATTTGTGGGCTCTTTATTTCTCCATTTTTTCGCTCTCCAAGCTCAGTTTCTTGCTTTGTAAAGCGCATAATTCCAAAATAAAATGTCTTAATCTTTCTAAAATTTTTGAGAAAATAGATATAATAAATTCCAAAAATGAAACTCAAGGACTTAGGGCAACATAACATAAAGGAACTAAGATTTTAGAATATTGTGTAAGGCAGTAATTATCTCAGGAACTTGTAGTGTTTAGAAAGCTTTCATAGCACGCATATTTTCCTTTTATCAACTACATACTTTTAATCATTCCTCAATTTCACTTTATTTCATGGCATCCAATGATCAAAAGATTACAGTGATAAATGAACTTAGGAAAGAGAATGCCTGCTCATTTTGAAACAGAAGAGTATTTGGTAGGGTTAGCGGATTCTGGGAACTTTTCGGATATCCTGATCCAATATCCGAGAAATTTTCTGATCAAATTTAATAATCCGCCAACTTAAACTTAACATTAAAATATTTTTTAGATGTTTTCATCATCGCTGTAATATCTACATTGGCTTGAATTCTTTCCTTACGCTACCAGTCCACTTTGGAATGAGTTTGAAATTTTTTATCCTCCTCTTTGGAATCAATTTTATCAGTCTTCGTACCTGTTATTTTATTCAATTTTTTCCTGTAACTTGTATAACTTTGGCTGTTCAAATTCAGTTTTATATTGGAGTTGATAGATTGTTAAGTATTGCCTTTCCTATCTGGTAATTATTTTTAATAATGATAATTAGGTGAAATTAGGGTTCTGGCTAATATTTATGTGTAATTTCATCTTATAAGGACGAGGTTCCTATCCATCCCTCCCCCCCCCCAATTGGGCAATTTGACTATTTATTAAATATGTACTGAGAGTTCATTCAAATTTCGCTTTTTCCATTATGAAAAGATTTAATGCATCCTACCCATCTATATTCAAAATTTTTCTTGACTCGTATGAGCATTGGAAAATTTTCGATATCTGAAACACCGATGCGCGATAATCAAGCCTAAGTTGGGATTCAAGTCCAAGTTTTGCTTTAATTAAATTAACTGATTATTATAGGTACAATTTTGACGATCGATATAAATCTGTGGTTGTTATTGTCATCTTAATAATGATAAGGTCGGCCCGTACTTGTTGGAATTTTTTAAACATGGCAATTAGCTTCCCTGATAGGTATGTAACTAGTTATTCTACAAATTTCCTTGAAAACTTCCAAATTCCTTCATTAATAACCCTTGAACATAACCCACATTAAAACGATATCTGCACTACATCGAATCCGGATAGGAAATTTAAAAAAGAACATGCGGTCGGATAAGTGTATGAAAATTTCCATACAATTTATTATGAAACTCAGACTCCCATCATCCTTCAACCGTTTTTTCGATTTCTTAATTCCGATCACAGACATCACGAGTCTGTATCGATGTTCAACAAGCTCAATAAGCTTTCAAAATATCCATACCGTACTATATCTTATATACTTGAACCATGGGAAAAGACCTTTAATATTGTCAAATAAAAATACAGTAAATTCATTTAGTCAATTTTATTTTTGAATCCTTAAATTTAAATTAATTTAAATAAAATTAATCTCAAAATTTAAAAACAAATTATTACAAGGCCAACTATGTGCGACACTTTAGCTATGGTACAGCCTGAAATTAAGCAAGAGACACTTACTACATCAAATATTTTTAATTTATTAACAGTTGCTTGTTATGTAACTATTTGGATATTAATGGCCTTTAGAAAGGAATACAGTTCTATTAATAGACGTTTAGTAAAATCACTGACAGCAATTATTTTGATTAATTTATTAGGATATGTGAATGTGAGTTTACTGATTTTTGCTGAAAGAATTTATATATTTATAAGACTTAAAGAGGGCGATTTGATAATTAATCCCTTCTTGCATTTTAGAAGTTATTAAGTATTAACGGATTGTAGATACCACCGAACGTGACCAATACAGTTTACTCAACATCTTTAGGACCTCCCGAGCAAGGTTACCTTCAGTCCTATTTAATTAGGGAGGAAAACCATCAGCAGTGGAGTTTCTGAAATTTTTGCGCAGTATAGTTGGGCTTCTAAACTTTTCGGACAGCAAATTCTACAGCAATTTTAGAGCCCACTATTAAAATTTTAGAACCCGATATTCAATTATAGTGGAAAATTTCAGAGAAATCTTGGCAGCCGCCTTCTAGTGTCCGAATTTTCTGACATAAGCCAGTGTCCTCAAATTAATTTCTTAAAAACCTTAACTAGTCGTATCTTTATTCCAATCCCACAATATTTATAATAAAATTCCTTGTTTTAGTCTCAAGTATGGTTAATGTTATTACCCATTTTGTCATTTAATGTTGCTGATATTGATAGTTATGTGGCTGTTCCAGCCCTGCTTTTGTATATTGCTTCGGCCAGCAGTAATATGCCTGTTTTATTTGCTTTTAGGTTTTAATAATATGTTTTAAACAAATTTCAAACTACTAAGTAAACATTTTATTCCGAAACTCAATATTTGATAAACCCAATATTGCTTTGAAAAGTTTAAATTTAGTTGACCACGGAGTAGTAGGTTTTTAATCGCTTACCGTTATTTCGTAAATATCTCTTACGAACTACTTTTTTATCTCTAAGAGGGATCTAAAAATGAGGTCCGATTATATAATTTAATTTCAGTACGGACTACAACAAAGCATTCAAAAATACGTTTAAACATTTATTTTGTGGAAAACCTCTTCAAGAAACGATAATTGTAACTTCATCAAATCACAATGCTAGGGTTGGTGTTATGAGGGAAAGGATCAATACACGATCAAATTTAAATCAAATAGAGAACCTATAAGGCAATTTGTATGAATCCTATTTTTAATACATAATTTTTATCTGATTACTAAAAAGAATGTTAGGAAAAAATACTAATGCAGCAGAATATCTGTAAATGAAGTCCACAAAGAGCCCGTATTTTTAAAATTTAAATGACATAAATATTTTATCCTCATTCTGTTACATTATTTTTAATTTTTACATGAAATTAAAAAATTCTTTTATTTAAAAATGAGTAGATGCAATATTCAGTTTACTACATATTACAAAACAGGACATAACATTCAAATAACAAAGAGTTGTTAATAGCATTTGACGGAAAGCATAGTGATAGTGAATATATCTGTTTGTTTTTTTGATTAAACAAATGTTTTGTACACAAAGCATTCAAAAATACATTTACATAACCATCTAATATGTCAATTAATTTTCTTTGAAATGTCAGTCGATTTATCGCATGGCCTGATATAGTCAACTTTTTCTTCACTCACTTCGTTTTAAATATCGAGATTCTACAAAGTTTTAAGAGAACAGACCAAAACGGAAATTAAAAACTGTTTTACAAGAAAGGGAAATAATTTAACTAAATGAGCAAAAAAATAATTTCAAAGCACTGCATCAAAATAAAATATCGCTCCTAACAAAAAGTAGTTATAACTACCACTTTGTTCCATTTTTTACCGCACTTTCATAAAGGATGAGGAGGGGTCCGCAAAATTTCCAAAAGGATTCGAAGCGATTGGGGGAGGAGTCAATGGGTTTGAGGGGAGGGGTCCGCACATTCCAAAAGTATTTGAAGGTGTTTGGGGAAATGCCCGCAAAATTTTCAAAGGGTAGTCTCAATAAATATAAAGTTTTAAAATATATTTAAAGGTTAACAATCTCATAAAACGTGGCATAAAAAAGGAATAGATGAGGGAACAATTAAACAGTTAACCACTCTTAATGGATCATTTATATTTAAAGATAGTAAGAATAAATTAAACAATAATAATAGTGAGGTAAAATTAAAAGAATTAAGACAACTAGAAAACTCCGTTGATAGATGCAAAAAATGAATTTAAAAACTACTTATGAATATAAACAACAAAATAAAGATGTAAAAATAAATAATAAAACCTTTAAACGTGAAAACTCTACTGTTATGGGAAATATTTCATCAAAATATATACTGCTATATCAGTAGATTAATCACTCGATCATTAATTGTCAATTGACTGATAATTTGGTTTATTTATTGCTCTGTTGATTTATCAATAGTTCATATGATTGATCATTTGATCATTGATTCACCTCTCATTACTAGAAGATCTCACGATTACTTGACTCAGTAGATCAACAGGGAAGATTCTTGGACAATCAATTTTTCAAATTGATTACAAGTGTCGATCATATGAATACATTAACTTGATAACAGTTATAGAGAAGATTCTATATGTATAACAAATTGAATATTTGATTAATACACTATTTCAGAAAAAAGCGACGCCAGTTTTAAAAATATAAAAAATTTCTCAATAAATACTTGATTCGCTTTTATGAATCAAGAATTTTTTAATTAAAATTTAGAAAAAATTTGTAAAGATTGATTGAATAAAATTTTTAAATTTTGCACTAAAATTTTTTAATTCTCTTTTGGGAATTGTAAACAAAAATCTTTTCTTTAAAATTTAAACTTCTATTTAAAAAATTGATTGATTAACAGAGAAAATTTTTAAATATATTTTTAATAAATATATTTTAAGAAAAATATTTTTAATAATAAAGAAATGAAAAAACATTTTAATTTTTAGGGGTTTAAAGGAAAAATTAAAATAATAATTTTAAAGCATTACAAAAAAGATATTTTTAAATATATCGATTGATTTTTGGGAATCATATGCTATATTTATGCTCCTCAGTGTAATAATTGGTAGTGATCTTGCCTATAGTGTAAATGATGTCGGTTCGAATATTTTCCTGGGTTTATAAATTATAAAATAATGTTTAAGATAATCAGTTAATAAATCGGTATCTTTAAAGGGAATTGTCTAACAATTAATTAGTCATTTTATGAGTAAATACAGTAAGGTGCAAAAGTTTATGCCGCTACACCTCACAAGAAAAAAAGTCGATATATCTCAATAAAATACCTCCACTAATTAAAATTTAATCGATTTAATTTAAGTCTTTTCTGTTCTTGAGTTATATCGTTTTCTTTGTTCGCAAAGAAAAGCGGCATAAACTTTTGAACATTACTGTAATATGATAATATGCTGTCGGAAGATTGAAAAAAGTAGATAATAAACCCCTTCCTCAATTCCTTTTGACAATATAATTAAAACAAAATAGGATTGCGGGAATTTTGGATTCGGGAGACGGAAAATCAAAGAGAAGAACAAAAAGAAATTTGTTGGAAGATTAAATAAAGTCATTTGATTGATGATGATTTCCTCAAAACCTTTTAATCGAAATGAAGTTGCAAGAACCCCCTTAATTATTTTGACCCCCTCTCCCCCCGAACCCTTTAGAACAAATTGGAATTGAGATAAGAACAAAAATAGAGCAAAATCCGATTTGTTCAAAACTTCAAAACCTTTTGAAAATTTTGCGGGCATTTCCCCAAACACCTTCAAATACTTTTGCAAGGTGCGGACCCCTCCCCTCAAACCCATTGACTCCTCCCCCAATCCCTTCGAATCCTTTTGGAAATTTTGCGGACCCCTCCTCAAAAATGGAACAAAGTGGTCGGGATAACTACTACGGAGCGAAAACTATTAAGAAAAATTAGTTGATGTACGAAACAAAAATGAAACGAAAAAAATAATTTTGATTTTTACGAAACTAAAGAAATGAAAAATGTCTAAATTTGTCACGAAACGAAAAAAGGCAAAATTGTAAAAAAGTCACAGGAGACAGATTTCTTTTTTAGTCTCGCTACGGACGAAAATTTTGAAAGGCCCAGGAGATTTAGCAAAGTTTCTCATATAAACATTTCCTTTTTACCAGAATGTGTCTTCGGTGGTGCATTGGTAGGTCAGTTGACACAAGTTCAAATCCTTCCTTGGAAAATTAAGTTATTTTATAATAACATAATATTAAACGTTGATTAATTCTTTGTTTCTTATCAGTATGTTTTATTCCCAGAATTTTTTTTAATTATTACAAATTTTTTTAAATATTTTTTGCAAAATGTTTTGCAAATTTCAAAAATTTTTGTCAGAAATGCATATTATAGACCCCTTTCCCTTTTTAAATTAACTACTAATTAATATAGAATTCTACGGTCTATGAACAGAATTCTGTGGACAATTGACATAGCCCCCAGGCACCTAGAATTTACAATACTATATTCATATATTATTAAGATAACTACGAGTTAATATTTGAAATAGCTTGCGTCAAGGGCTTCGCCAAAATGTGCTGTAGCACCAAAATAAACCAAACGAAGATTTTCAGTATAATCACTTCCAGTTGAGTAACTTGAACTACTCGGATGATGACTTGTTGAAGAACTTGAATTTAAAATTCAGACGTAATTATTGTGGCTCTACTTTAGATCATGCGTCTCATTGGAGCTTTTATGCGTTAATGACTATTTATGCGTCCCATTAGAGCTTATGTGTTCCAAATATAGTATAAGCATCACATTCATGAGATACATCCTTAAAATCTTGTCCTATTGAGGTATATCTTAAATAGGGTGTCCAGAACAACAGGTTACCATTGGCTCTACCACTGGCCAACCGATTTTTAAAAAAGGATCTTAAATTGAGACCCTCTATAATATAATACCTTGATTGATCCAGTTCAACAATTTTAGTAATCGATGTCTATAATATTTTTAAATTATTTTCAATTTTATTTATTTAGACCTGAGGCGCATATGTATAAATCCCTGCAACAATATTATGAACCGCACAAATTGGCAATGCATGTGAGACTATTACAATTTGATCTTAAAAAATTATAGCTATTTTATATTCCTATTTATTGCAAAAATAAAAAAAAATGGAAAAAACTATCAAATGAATATCCTTGCAGAAAACAGTCCAAAATGTGTCTTAATAATAATATTCATCCAAACCCATACAGTGCATGTTTGCTACACATACTGATGCATCTCCAAAGGACTTAAAGCGTTTTAGATGTTGACGGGTCCTGGGAAATCTTCTCGTATCCGGAACGGAACCTCTAAGCGACCGAAAATTTCTGTGTTCTTCTTCAATTGCGGATAACAGAACCGCTACCTTTGCCGCCAAAACTCGGAACCGCCAATTTTTGACAAAATTAACGAAAAAACGCAAAAATATAACTGTTCTGACCCAGGTTCCCTTTTTCCCTACTAATCCCCTTATATTCCCTTATTCCAACCAAATTCCTTAATATCCTCCGTAATTCTCATGTATCCATGATAATATCACATTGTTCATCCAAACAAAATCATTCGATGACATTTAGAAGTGATACTTAAATTTTTAATTGGAAAAATAAAATTATTATACCAGCAGTTTCTTCCCCTGGCTGTATCCAATGATTTTTATACGTGCCTTCGTTGATTTGATCAAACAAATTTGAATTAAAGAAAGTACTATCTTTTAAATATTTTTCATTCTCAAGATTTTCTATCAATCCGTTTAAAGCATCTTTAATACGTCTGCAACAACCCATATCTGAATTTCCTCTTTCTTCCTTTAATGATAATTACAAAAAATTAATAAAATTAACAAAATATTTTAATGCAATTAATACATTTGCAACCCAAATTTATGGCCTTTGCTTTACTCAAAATACTCTTTGTGTAATCTAAGTTACAACCTCCTAAATACTACTATATTACCCCTATTAACTTATTGATTAGTTAGAACAAGAGAGCTCTGAAGAGACTGCCTATTGGGTGAGAGAAGTCAGAGAAAAAATTTTTTTCTCTCCCCAAATAGGCAGTCTCTTCAGAGCTGTCCTGTTCTAACTAATCAATAATTTCAAATCGTACCCAATCCTATTGATACCCCCCCTCCCCCATCTACAGTAGACAAAACCAAAACCTTTCAGGACGTTCCGCGGCGAAGAACATTTGAGAGCCAAACATTTTCAGGGACGGTTCGATGCCCGATTAAAATTTTATTTTATTATTATTTTTGTCATTTTGTGCAGTAAAAATAAAAAATTTGTTTAAGTTCTTTGTAAATTTCCTAAAGGTATTTCGCTAATATTTTTTGCAATGTTGGATTCTTCAACTGAAGTTATGAATCCTAGTTTACGTAGAACTCGAAGAAGTAAGATCCAGCAGATTAAAATCATCGGTAAGATAATGAAATGTAATAATAGTAATAAGGGTATTCCATAAGCTACAGTGTGATTCAAAGCCTTATCTTGTAAATCCGTGCCAGCAATTTTTAAAAATTCGAATGTTATATTCTGAGTACTATTGGAAATATTTTGCATTTCAAAAAATTAATATATTTTAGATTATAATTATTTATACAATTTTTCAACCTAGGTTTGAATCCGTAACTATATGTCGATTGTAATCAATCATAATCATTTGATCAAATTCGCCTAAAATAATCATTTCAACACCTCCTGCGGGAATAGGAGTATTAAATTCTAATCGAACACTAGTAGTTCCACTTTTAAGAAGCTCAAAACCACAAGAGTCATCGAGTGTCGATGTTAATGGTATTACAAAAAAGGTCCATCCATCTTTAAATCGTGACATTGAAATATCAATGGAACGATCTGAGTTAGCCATTCCAAGAGCTTCATACATGTCGACGAAAGCCCTAACAAATAAGTCTTGGGCAAACTTAAGCTTGTAAGCGACCATAGGATAAATATGGCCACCAGTATGAACAGAGATATCCCTAATATCAAATGGTTTGAAATTGAATGGGGAAAGCGTAATGTCGCCATTAAAGGCCTTATTTGAAACTAAGGCAACTGTAATGCGTCGAGGTATAGCCGAACTGAAGGCATTATACTCAATTTCAGTCCGCCCTGCTGTTAGATAAGTAGATTTCATTTCAGTTCGGCGAACAGCATACGTAGCAGGTTTAGATTCAAGAGTCTTATAAATGTTCATGTTAAGTGATGGTTGCACTTCAATCATTTTCGAAAATAATTTAACGTCGTGAACAAAAAGTCTATATTGATTATTATCACCTTCTTTGATATTTTGTAATATAAAAGCATCCTTACTTTTGTAAATGCTAAAGTGAATATCTAAATTATTAAGGAGAAATAATTCTTGATTTCCCAAATCAAAATCAAGGCGCGAAAGGAATTGGGAGCGTTTACCGTTTGCAAAAATAGAGCAACGATTTTTGAAACCATCATCTGTAGGATCATCATGTTTATCGGTTCTATAATATCCAATAGATGCAAGAAAATGTGATTTAACGTTGTCAGGAAATGATAACTCATTAGTAATATATGCTTTGTAAGGATAAAGAGTACCACTATCATAAACTTCTGTATTACCAACAGTTACCTTCAACTGCTGAACAAATGTTTGACCAATACCTTGAATCGATCCAATATTATTATCTTGCTTCAATATCTACCCATTTACCATTGTTTCCCAGCTTTTCAATTGACAACTCGAGGTAAAGATATGTTCGAGACAAGTCAGTCCAAAGATTATCACTGAATAATCGAAACAAATACGGAGAATCTTGTGTTATTGTACTAAGTGGGAGAATTTCTCTAAAAAAGGATCGGACAACAGAAACGTTTGTAGGAGGTACAGAAAAAATACTCAATGCACTATTCAGTGCCAACGGACTGTTTTCATTAATTTGTTTTGGGCAACTCATTTTAGTATGTTCCTAACGTGTCTACTCGTAATCGTTTTTGGGGACGGGACTTTTTGGTAGATTTTTTAGTATATTTCCTTTTGAAATTTGGAATAAAATTAGGAGGACCGATTCGAGAGTATGGATGTTTATTTATAGTTTTTGGTTTAAGATCTGGTATTGCGTCATTCATTTGTCCGATGGCAGGAGACTTTTCTATATTTTTGTATCGCTTAAAATCAAAACCTTTTCCACTTTGTTTATCAACATTTTCGGCTGCTTTTTGCAGTAAATTTTTCAAGCCTGATTTACCTTCAGTTACAAGAGATTCTTTAAGATTTTTCCCCTCTAAGACATTGCTTAAAACTCGATTACCGGATTCTAAACCCTGTCTTCCAATAGCGCTACCAATTTCTTTACCAATCGGGATTAAATAACGAAGAAAACTTCTAAAAACTGACCCCAATCCATTACCTCGTTGGTAAGGAACGACACGAAAAACATTATAGCCGCCCCATTGATTGGGGTTTTCAGTTAATGTTGACCAGTTTATATTTGCAGGATCAAAATCAATGTGCATTTTTATATTATAAGATTTACTATTTAAGTCATCTATTTATATTAAATATCTGAGTATTAATAAACTCAGATACAAATTTATCAGCATTAATTCCTTTTAGTGCTGAAATTATTTTATTCATTGAAAAACCTAAGCAGCGCATATAAAGAAATACGATAACATGATTCCCGCATGTATTAGAAAATGGTTGTTGTAACATAACAGAATTAAATTGAACATTGTTAAACTTATCTAAATAGGTTCTAATATGATAACTTATCGGAGGCCAGATACCTAGCGAGTCATAGTATTCAATACTATTAGTTGAATTGCAAAATAATGCTATCCAATGGGTTCCAGATAAATTGCTCGGATCTGTGTTAACTACAAAACAGAACGGGAAAGAATTACTCCTATAAGGAATACAGTCTGAAGCAAAACATCCTACATAAAATCTCTTTGTAACAATATTTCTTTTTAATATTTTATCAATTTGAAGGTTATTCATTGTTAAAAGTATGAAGCCTTTTTAAAATGCAATGTTAATGTACATGTTTCATATTGAAATGGCATTAATGTCCCACTAGAAGTTCTAATTTCAATAAAAATTTCAGAAATTTCTTTTACAAGTAGCTTATGGTATTGAACACATAAAAATTGTTCTTCAATAATTTCATCTTGTTTACCTCTAATTGTTACAATTCTAAGCACTGGGGCTGTCACATCGCCTATAACCATTGGTTCAATTAATCCAGGTGCATAAACATGGAAGCAGGACACGCCTCCTCGCATATCAGGCATAAAATTTGCAACACAAGTTTCAGTTAAAATTTGCCTATCAAACCCTAAGATATATGCAAGCTGCTCAGTTAATTCAATTTTTTCTACATATTCACTATCGATATGCAAGGAAAACCTATTTTTATAACTGTGGAATTCAAAATTGCAAGCTAATCTAGGTTTACGAAATACTTTTATCCAGGGGTCAAATCCAACCTCGTTAGTTACCGAAATAATTTGTTTGAAATCATCAGTCATTTTTAAATTTTCGATATTCACCAAATCTGTAAAAATTTCATCTTCACTTTTTAAGCTAGGAACTTCAGTATCTTCACTAATAATTACGTGTTGTTCTGTAGTCACGTTAGATACTGGCTCTGTCCTTTTCTGAGAGAGTTCTTTTAATCGTTTATATTTATCTTTAGCCTGGGTGCGAAGTTCTTTTAATTTATTTGTATACTCAATATGAAAGCTACGAAATTTTTCAACAAGTGCTTCACTTCCTTTGTTTAAGGATCTATCTAAATTATCTTTTAAATGTTGGGGATTAGTTAAGGTATTGGAAGGAACCGAAAATTGAACTACATCACCACTTTTCCAGTAAACAGTTACAGTTTGTTCGCTATTAGTACCTAACGACGGCCAGGAGTGTGGATAAACCATAACGGCTAGGCCGACATGCCACTCAGAATTAAATTGCAACTTATGAGGTAACCTAACTCTGAAGGAATTTGTTCTATTTCCTTCAATGTTTGTGTTAGAAGGAATAATAATATAAAATGAAGTCATTTTTTTACATATTAAAAAATTAAATTTTAATTTATGTATAATTATCTCCAAGTTATAGAATTAGCGGGTATCCAGCTGTTATGTTCCGGGCCATAACCCTTCCAACTGACAAAAACATAATCTTCCCCATCGCGTTTCCTTTTTTTCAAAACTTTATTAATGTCATATAAATTCTCATCCTTTTTAGAATTCTCTTTTACTAAAATTAAATCATTAGAATAAAACCACCCCTAATCTGTTCTCCATTAGAGTCTTTAATTTTGTATGTAGGAGGTTGATAGGGAACTAAGCGGACTTTATCAATAATAAAAATTTCATTTGTGAAATTTGGCAAATAGCCCTTTTGAAATATATGCTTATATTTTTCGATTCGCACTCTATCTCCTACCGAAAACTTTTTGCTTCTCCATCGAAAAGGGGCATGTGTTTCAATTGCTCTATTCTTTAGTAATTGCCTTAACTTTTCAGCATTTTTAAAATTGACATCAGTTGGGCGCATACCTATACTGGAGTTAAATGAGTTATTAATTGACCTAACAATTTTTTGGATAACATCCACCCATTTTAAAGTTTTATTTTCTGTAAAATACCTATATAATCTTTCTTTAATGCTCCGGTTAGCTCTTTCTGCCATTCCAGCATGCCACAAAGGTGAAGTAAGCATAGAGAAATGTTCCATATCCAAGGACTTGAAGTATTTTTGTACTTGCTTAGCAGTAAATTCAAGTCCTTGATCAGTTAATAATTTCCATGGAATGACTTTAGTACGAGAAAATAATTTTTTAAATGCATCTATCATATTATCACTATGTTTACTCTTTACCGGTTCGACAAATATTTGACGACTGAGTGTATCTATACAAACTAATAAATACTTGTATCCTTGATTCTGTTTGCATATACGATTAAAAACACTCAAATCTGCTTGCCATTCTGTATGAAGTCCGGGAGCTAACGTAGGCATTCTTTTATATTTTCTAACAACTCTTCTATGAAGAGTATTGACATTTTGACTTGAAAGATAGTCCTTGACATCTTGTCGTGAAATATTTTTATCAACTTTCCTAGCTGATAGCAAAAGCGGTTCAAGAGAGGTAAAACATGCTGAGGAATTAACATTTTTATATAATTTATCAAGTATTATTATTTTTTTATTAGTTAACGTTACTGCCATAAGGACGGTTTATATGAAAATACTTTTTTGAAACAACCACCTTCACCTTCTTGTTTATTAGTAGATTTCGATGGAAAAAGCAAATTTTGTAAAACTGTATGTTTGTTTATTCTACGAATAAATTCGTCGTAACCAGTTGGAATTGGTCTTTTACGCTTATTCTTATTTTTAAGTATATGATTTATAAGATCTTCTATATTACTTGTAATGAAGGAATCTTTGCTACCTATTTTTCTCGCTAATTTTCCATTTGGCAAAACACCTAATTCACCGGCATGTTGTCTTATATATTTCAATGCTTGTTCTTTCGGATCAGGCTCATTATCGGTATCTGCCGATAAAAAATCATCTTCCTCTTCATCACTTTTATCTTTCCCCTCACTTTCTTCAGCTTCAACTTTAATATCTTGTACAGGATATTGTCTCTTTATACCAACTTTACCTACTGATCTTTTATTTAGTTTCCTTTTTAATATAACCTTACGCAATGGTTTTTTAATGGGATCAGCATTTGATGCTAACGGAGGTTTTTGGTCAATATTTTTTGAAACAGCATTCGCTATTTCTTCAAAATTTTTCAATTTAACATCAATAGGTTTTTCTTCCTTCTCTTTTAAAAGTTTATTATATCTTTTAAAATCTTGCTCATAACGAAGCGCTCTTGTTGTAGGATCTAATATTTCTTTATTGGCACTAGTATTCTGCAAACGTTCCTTTATCAAACCTATAGCAGTCCCATCTCCGCTTGAATGTAAATCTTTATTCTCATCGAAATCCCCAATTATATTTTTATAAATGTCTTCGGGGATTAGAAACATTCTATTTGCATTCTTCATAACTTTATTATTTCATTGATAATTTTTTATTTATATTATTTTAAAATTTTGTCAGTAATTATTGGGATGATAAGGCTGGCAAGAAGTCCAGCAATCGGTGGAATTCCATTTCCTTTTTGCAATAAAATTCTTGTAGATGAGGCACTTCTAGATCTACTTATTTTACGCAGCAAATTTGCATGTTTTTGCAAAGTTATAATTCTATTTTTATGAAATGGTAGACGTCCTTTTAATAAATTAAAGCAAATTTCAACAAAACACAACAATTGTTCATCAGAAGCCTTATCTAGTAATTCTTTTAATACTTTGTTAGATTTCGAACAATCAAAAATCGAACGAAAAAAATTTAAATTTCGCCGTATTAGGTCGCTTGTATAAAATGTTTTCTTCATCTTGGAATATAAACTATTGCTTTACTATTTTCATCAGAATATATATGTGTTCTAAGTCTTAACAATTCAGGTGTGCTAGGATGTATATCTACTAAAAGATATCCAAAATTTTCTTTTGTAGCATCCGAATATGCCTCTAAAAAATATTTTGAGCGTGAAGGAAACAAATGTGAAGCAAGTGTCCTAATCTGTAAGGCTCCAGCAGGATTTCGCATTAGCAACAAATAGTGTGAATTATTACGAGCTATTTTTAATTCTTTACTAAATAAATGCTGTGTTATTAATATAACACTCATTTTCCAGTTATGCGATCCCTTCGTAAATATTGTATCTAATAGATTTTGATTCATCCCAACCATTAAGTCATCGAGTACAAGCAACATCTTTCCATGTGATTGAATAGCCTTTGTACGTAAAAATTCTTCACCTCCTACTGGTAGCCCATTATGAACTATAACACTTGTCTTACCTTTATTAACAAACCCCGTTCTCTGCATACTTATAATATTTTTATTCAACTCCCCATAACAATAAAAAACCAGATCAATTTGATATGTCCCCTCATTTTCATCTGGAATCATTTCAGACAAATTTTCCAGAAATTTTTTAACCCATTCTGATTTTCCAGATCCTGTACTCCCCGATACAATCATTGTAAAAGGGTGTTTGAATCGAGAATGTATTAAATCAAATTTTTCAAATCCTGACATTTTAAAATTAAAATTAATTTTTTATAAATAAGTATATATAGATTTAAGAATTTTAAAATTCATAAAATGAAAGTAATGGAATTTCTTCTCACTCTTATGGCCTGGGGGGTTATCGAAGACGACCCTGAACCAGAACAACAACAACAAAATACATCAAGCGAAGCTCAAACGGACCAGCCAGCATTAATAGTGGTTCAAGAATCTGGAGACGAAGTTGAAGAGAAGGAAAAGGTAGATTAAATTAAATAATTAAATCTTTATAATTTAAATTTTAGAAAGGTGTAGATCTTATTACTCCGGCTTTTGGATTGCTTACAATAATGGATGACATAACAGAAGATAAAATGGATGATGACCAAATTGAAGATGAAATTAATATAGATACAAGCGAAAAAATTCTTCGAATTACTCAAGACGATAAACCTTTGGATTGGACCGCTGAACCAGAAAATCCTTTTCGTGAACCTACACCACCCCCGCCAGCAAAGCAAAATGAAGATACGCAACTTAAAAAGCCAACAACATCAATAAGTTCAAAACCACATATGCCTATACCATTAATTGAATATCTTTGCCAACTACAAAATTGTTCGTTCAAGGAACTACATGTATTATTCCATAATCTTGATGCTCGTCGTCAAATTGTTGAACATCTACGTCAAAGTGTTCAGCTAAGAACATCCCATCTCAAACCTGCGTGTCGCAACTTTTTAGTACATTGTCATGATCTTACAGTACAATCAGCAAGTAATGTTCCAGCAATGAGTGGTTATTTGGGCATAACTGTAAGTTTTTAATCAAAAGACTAATATTAGTTCTTTATTTTAGGTCCGCGGATATTATTATGTAAAGCATAATTTCAAACTTTGTCATCCATATCTACCATGTATTATTGAGTTTGGTGGAGGACATCATCGATCATTTTACCCTCTTGAAGTCCTTTGTGTAATCCGAAACAAAATGAAAGGAGGATGTTATTAGATAAATAAAAAAAAATTTTTTAAAGTTGAAAACCACATATAAATTGTTTTTTAATTTTATAATTCACAATTAAATTGTCTTTATTTTTTAGTGAGTAAATATTATGCAAATCTATAATTGTACAGTTGTATTTAGAATCTTTAAAGACAACGTTAAATTTTCTCAAGAAAATTATTTAAAGCTTGCAAGATTTGGAATTAATACTGAATATAATCCTAAAAGATTCCATTCGATAATTATGCGACTACGACACAAAGGAAATAAAACAACGGCAGCACTAATATTTCAATCGGGAAAAGTCGTTTTAACAGGCGTTCCTTCTCCCGAATTAGCAAATGAAACAGCATGGAGAGTTGTGAAAAGTATTAGAGCTTCCAATTCTGCGGCAGGAAATTTCCAGAAAATTGGAATTTATAATCTTTTGGTTACGAATATTGTCGGAGCCTACAAACATGAACAAAAATTAGCAATTGAACAATTATATAAACAACTTCGAAAGCAAAACATAAAATCAAATTACGACCCAACAATATTTCCTGCACTCCGTTTCAAAATAAATGTGGAAGAAAGAGATGGAGAAGTATCATGTCTATGTTACATCTCAGGACGTGTGATACTAACGGGGATAAAATCTATTCATGAAATGAAACATGTTTTTAACAATTTTATTTTACCTAGAATTAAACAATTTCCACGAACATAATTTTTTATTTAAATAAATATATACAGAATAAATTTTAATAAAAATATAATCAAAAATGATATCTATTTCTATAATCATTTTCTGTCCATCCGGAAGATCCAGGCAAATCTTGCAAATTTAAATCATTTGTATCTAAACGGGATCTTGTGCTTGAGGGTGTTGTTGTATTTGATCGTTTTTGTTGACGCCTTTGTCCTACTGATGCCTGTAAATAATATGTTATTTAAAAAAAGCTAAGAAAATTTAAATAACCATATTATTCATCCTGTGCCCAAAAGGAAGAGTTTCCATTCCAGGCATAATTCTACCCTTTTCATAACAAGGCCTGTATTCCTTCCTGGCCAGATGGGTGTAAAGCTGAGACCGACGAGTTCTTCCAATTTGCGGGAATTGCACACCAATTGAATTTCCAGCGAAAAAGACATCATCAGCAATCGTGTCATCACTGAATATATATTTTGTATTTTCTTTAAATTAGTAGATAAACTCACACTGCGCCATCAACATTGAATTGATTCAACACAAGTTGTTTCATAGTGTTGAAGTTCAGAAGCTGATGAGTAGCATAAGAGAGCGGGAATGAGCGAATCTTAAGCTCAGCTCTCTCATCCAAGCCTGTACTTGCGTCGACATGTCGGTAGCCATAATTTTTCGGACCACCAGCGATAAATTCCAAAATTCGGCGTGTTGGAATTTCACGCTTCATTTGACCAAGATATTCCCCCTCAGGTACTCGCGGCCCATTACGCTTCCTGACATAGATGATGGAGTCAGTATCGCAGTACAGGATAACGCCGCCAATTTGATGTACTTGTTCAATATAACCATAGAGATGGAGCCTGGCATGTGAAGTGACGAACGCTGCTACTGGAAGGCAGTTGGTAGTTGGTGTTTTTGCAAATTCCGGCTTCTTCCTTACAACACAACGGTCCAAATGCTCACTGACATGATCAAAGTCAAGCATTTCAATTGTTGGATCTTCTAACAATTGGTGAAACTCTACCGGTGTTTTGGCATAACGAACTTCAGTTGTACAAACACGTTGAGCCAATTTTCCCCATAGCGAGTTTGCTAATAATTTCTAAAAATCTAATTAATTTTGAATATTTTTTAATCAATCACCGCAATCATTCGCAAGCCAGGATTTGTCTCAATTCGCTCAGGGTTAAGGAAGATTCCTTCAACTCGTTCAAACTCAGCTAGGTATTCAGCTCGGTCCAACTCCGAGACACAACCATCTGGCCATCCACTTGCCTGTTGTTTCAATCCAATGAATGTGTTGACATAGGATCGAAATAAATTCGGATCCCATTTTTCATAATTCCAGACCTAAATATCAAATTAAATTTGTATATTATTATATTGCTACCTCATAAATGTCGACGACTTTATACCCACGTTCCAATGCATAATTAAGCTCTACATGAGTATAGCCAGTTAGCCAGGAACGTTCACGTTCTCCATGAGTGCAAGGCCGTTGTTGTCTATTATCTGCACATTTTGCACAAAGTGGGAATGTTAATCGTCCATCATGAGTTCTGTATGGAAGAACTGGTGGAAGATTTCCATTCATAAAGTTCGGAGGTTGAACCCGAACAAGAAGCAAACCCTTATAGATATTATGCTCTGGAGTTGTCCAAGGCAAAGGGTTGTTTGGTGGGAGAAGCAATGTGTCACGAGTCAAAACATTTGGATGCCCAACAGGAAATGATCGTGCCTTCATCACATAAGGATAAAGACTTACCTTAAAAATTTTAATTTCCTTTAAATTTAGCTATAAATTTACAATATCAATGTAAACGATTTCCTCGTCTTCAGCACATAAGTGATGAAGTTTGAAGGGTTCTGTCCTTCCTCCTCTAAGGCAATCTTCTCTGGGATCCATTGGCCGAACACAATCAATTTCAAACCATCTTCTCCGTAACTGAGTGTTATTTCTAAGTTTTTCCTTGATTTCATGTCCCCAGACTACGTGAAGTTCATATCCATGCTGATGCTCCAATTCCCATAGGCGTTGTTGAGTTCTTTCAAAAAGCTCTTCTGCTGTACGGCCCGCTGCTAAGATTTGGTTACGTACTGGGAAGCATTCGGGACAACCTTAAATTTATAATAAAATTGATTAGTATTATTAAAACATTATACCGTGGTAATAGCATCCCATATATTCAATAGCCAAAGGGCGAAGTGGGGGCGATCTTTGCCATAGTCCATCGAGTCTATAACCGCAGTCTTCAACATGAGCTTCTCCAATTGCCCATTGTGCATGTTGAATTTGGCCTGCAGACTCTGGATGTTGTAGTTCAAAAAAGCGGATGTATCGCTGCGATTCGGCTGAAGCTCGTCGTCCTCTTAAATAACCACCTTCAGGCGAGTGAACAATCCAATTCTCTGGTAAAAAGCAGCGACGCATTGTTGTTAAAGCGAGTCCCGCTGCCGTTGATACCGACAAAAAAGGGTCAAGATTTTTTGTGTTTTCTCCAATAAGTTGTCGAAATCGGAGTACACTTTCGCGAAGAATCGCTACATCGTTTACACAGTATTGAATTAATTGTTCACGAAGCTGAAAGTTTGTTGTTCGTTCTGATGTTTGTTGAACATACCACTCAATGAGCTTTTCCCTCTTTTCAGCCTTTTTATATTCAGGTTGGTAGTATTGAATTGCAGGGAGCCCTCTTATCCTCTTATGTAAATGTTGTCTTTGAATAAAGAGATAAGGGAAAAATGGCTTTGAAGTAGCCAAATCCTCGGGCAGAGCAAAAACCTTTGTAAGTGCGTCAAGCTCGCAAAAGAAATAATTTAACGAGTCTTTGAAAAGCACTTTTCTCTGATGATAACCTCCTAGACTCATAGAATAGATTTTGAGTCCTGTTGTACATAATCTTGTTGGCGGGTGACTACGCCTATGAAGAGCTTCTAATAACAGGTGAAAATCATATTTTCCTCCATTATGAGCTATGCAGATTGTTAGCATATTTTGAGAACCATGATTAAGAAGGTAGTCTAAGAATTGCTCCACCGGATTATGTTCAGCGTTGTCGAACGAATGGAAAAACATACGCCGTGGATTGAACGTGATGTTATTAGGAAAGGATGTGTTGTCGCCTGGAGCATTTTTGAAGGGTGGGGAACACCAAGTACGCCATCGTTCTCCTCTGGGTTTCCCACAAAAACACCCTTGGGCACGTTGTCCAACATCCTCAATACTAATACCAGCACGTATACAAGCTTCACAGATAACCTATAAGCAAGTTATATTTTGATTAATACAAGAGTTACCTCTGCAATAATCAGAAGAGGTACATGCCTATAGCCATTGATATTTTGACTTATTTGCACGGGATCATCCTGACTGGTTTCAGCATCGAAAAAGCAAAGACGAATTGGACGTCGATGTCTTCTTACTCTTTGTGGTTGTTGTTCATTATTATTTTCAGTAGTATTTTCTTCTTCATCCTCTTCAGCATTTAATGGCTGAATAAAACATGGTTGTTCCTCCGTGTGAGGACCATTACATATTTTACAAATTATTTGAGGTTGGTCTCGTTGTTGTTGTTGGCAATCGTGGTGTTGTTGAGCAAGGATAATATGATGACAATTAGGACAGATGCGCCTCATTTGACAAATGGATGCAAATGTGCGCGAATCACGTCGAATCATTTCATCTGGCGCAGTGTTGATGAGATGATAGTCATAACAGGAACGACGCGGAAAAATGAAGCCGCAGTTTTGACATGGAATTCTTTCCTCCTCCTAGCAAATATTGAATAGAAATTGTAAAAAAGAAAGAAATTATACCTGACAAGGAAAGTCTGGACCTGTGCGCATACAGAACCGGCACACAACGCTACAACCGGCCCAATGTGACCATCGCGTTACAGAACGTTCGCAGTCAATACAATAACGCTTGACACCCAAAAGTTGTTCAGGGCGACCAATGTAGTTGTAGTGGCGATTTTCCAAGAGCAGACATAAATTATAACGAGCTGCTCTTCCATCTCCCTTAAACACAATCCGGTACTGCTGCTCTTTTTGAAAAACAACAATACGGATGTGACCTTCTCCATAATATTGATTCAACCATCGTTGGAGAATCGCTACATGTTCAAGCGAATATTCCTATAAAAAATAAATCTGAAAAAATGAATTCAAATAATACCTGTAATCCATTTGGAAGTCCAGATATATCCATTAAGTAGTTTACAAAAATTTCATGTTGTTCTTGTTGATGACAGAAAGTTCTGAAATGAGCGGATCCATTATTAGCATCGCCTTGATCGACAAGCCGAATTTTTGTAAGTCCAATAACTACTGCTCGAGCAAGACAGTAGCGGTCGTTTGGATTGTGGACGCGCACAATTGAACGACATCGAGAAGACACTGCATGTTCTGTGCCCAGATCGCAACTACCTGTAGGAACATGACTGCCTTACATTTATTTAAAAAAATGTAAGACTAGTATGAACCTACCCGAATGTGCTGCAGGATTATTAGTGCGTTGACCAGTCAAAGGCCACACAGCTACAACTTTTGTTGTTGTTGTTCCTGAGAGAAGGTCTATCCCGGCTTGGGATATCTCGTTCAATCTCTCAATAGCTGCGGCTAATGCTGCTGCATTATTTTGTTCTACCGGTCTAAGTGGCACGGTAAACGGGTGGTGAAAATTTGGTGGTTGCACCTGAAGACCAACGCGGAGAGGCGCTGGCCTTCCTGTGAGCACTCGATCCAAAAGTTGTTCAATAAGTGTTGTTAGAGCCAAGTCAGGTCTGGGATGATCTGCCAGATTATTAAATCTGATGTGGGCGATCTCACCACGAGTATTCCGTGATTGAGAGGCGAATGGCTCTATTCTTTCAATAACAAAGTAGTTTCTCATGTTTTCAATCTAAATTGAAATTGAAAGTTTATTTATAAACTAATCTAATTTGAAAAATGCGCGCAGATTAAAATAACTGAATAAGGGTAGGAGCATATCAGGACAAGATTCATTATCTTTATTTAAGGAAGATATTTATTTAATTGGGAACGACAAAACTGAAGCGCTAGGACTTACTACTTACTAGAACATTTTACTTTAATTTCTTACTGCCTAATAATTTTTTAAAAAAATAAAATTATAAAAATTTATTTAAGGCAAAAGAAATACATATTATAATAAGAATAATATAGCAATTCACTAATTTAAAAAAAAAATCCTTAAAAAAACAATTAGTGAATTGTTATATTATTAGTAAAAATAATTTAATAAGGCAAACAACTAAAATTATTTAAAAGGCAGGGAAATAAAATTAAAAGCATTTTAAAAGCAATAAATTTAATGACAAAATATTTTTAAAGTGGCTTTAAGCTTTGGGAATTAAATTTATAGAATTTTAATTAAGAAATGGGTACTTATAGGGTTTGGTTCCGGTGGAAAAAAATTCTATTTTTCCTTAACATGTAATAATGTTCGGCATTTTCCCTTCCTCATTTTCACTATACTTCCTGTGGCAAATTCAAATTATAGACATTAATCAAGGAAAAATAATTTTTCTCCAATATCATCAAACATTAGAATTAAGGAAAAGATAGAATTTTTTCCAGCGGACCAAAACCCTATAAGTACCAGAAAATGTTGTCCCAATATAAGTTTTATATTATTTTACATGTTTTATATTTGTATAATAAGTTTTATATTTGGACAACATTTTAAAGTGGTTTTAAGATTCGGAATTAAATTTCTGAAATTTTTATCAAAAAATGTTGTCCAAATATAAGTTTTAAATTATATCGTCATATGGCTTTATATTACATAGTTTTATATTTGGACAACAAGACAGCCAATTAAAAACTAATTCCTATAATAAATTCCTTTAGACATATCCATTTTGCATATAGAACAACATCTATAATCTTTAGATAACTTCCAAAAACAGGCTTTGTGGATCTTATGGCAGCAAGGTAAAAAAATTACACTTTGACCAGTTAAAAAACCCTCAATGCATATGGGACATTTTTCCTCATCTTCCTCTGGTTTATATGTTGATGGGAGTTTTACTCGCGAAATAAGCAAAGAATTTCTTTCGCATAAATTTAAACCACCAGGAGGGTGAAACCCGAAGGATCTTTCCCAATTAGAATCAAAAACATCATTTTGTGTAGCCGGAGGAGTACGGCCGATAGTTGAATTCTATAATTTAGGATAGAGGAGACTTGTTTTCTAAGCTAACAGCATCTTATAACTTTAAAATAACAAACATACATGAGTTTGTGTTTCTGTATTTTCACCACATGCATTTGATAGACCAGGCGCTTGAGAGACCTGAGTAAATAAAATATGAAAATTTTAATGATTAAATTTATTAAAAATTTACAAAAGTTTGTGAATTTGAATTTTGTTCATTTATTCGATCACCACATAAAAAAGTCTCCTGAAAATTATTTTGTTTTTACGAAAAAATTTATTTTTATAGATACTTGTGTATTAAACATTTGATTTAACTCGACATGTGCAGTAGCCTCGCAGGGAGCCAATTGCTAAATAAAAATTAACTTTTTTTTATTAAATTAAATATTTGAATTTTTTTTTCACTTGCAAAGTCGGAGGTATTGGACAGGAATTAATGACAGCGGCTAATGCACGGATTTGCTTAATAGTATTTTTTGTATGGATTTTTTATACTTAACAATACAACTATTAAAACAAATTTCAACAACATTTTCGATCACTAGTTTTTTTTTTTTCATTTTCCAAAATTTTTGTTAATTTTAAAAACATTTTTTTTATTTAAAAAATTTTTTTAATTTGATTGAGAAAAAACTTAATTTTATTTAATTTGAACTAAGATAAATGTTAATTAAATAAAAACAAAAAATTTTTATAATTTTCAAAAAAATTTTTATTCATTTTTATTAATAATTAAAAATACAATTTATTGATTTTAATAGTAAAAAACTTGGATAAATGCAAATTAATTAAATTTAGTTCTATATAGTCATTAATAAGTAATTAATTGATATTAAAATTTATTTGATTTTTAATTAAAAAGATATATTTTTTATTAAGTGATACGAATTGTTTCTTTTTGAAAAATGTGTTTTAATAGATGTATTCTTTTTACTTTTTTTTCAATTTACCGTTAAATCATCTTCATCATCCTCCTCATCATCCGTAAACTGTCCACGTAAAGGAGGAGGCCCACCATAACGCAAAGCTTCAGCAGAAGTACAGGGTTGTTGTTGTTGTTGTAAACTTGATGGGGTAGGGGCAGTACCAATTCCACGTTGTTGATTATTTAAAAAAGGTTGAATTTGGTTATTCTGCTGTTGTAAAATTTGCAGTGTTGATCCATTTACAAATTTAAGTTTATATTCAATAGTTCCAGACCATTCTGATCTGTTGGGCGACTCGGGAACAACCATCAAGTTTTTAATCGAGACCAGCTAAAATTGAATTTTTTATAAAAAATAATCTTCAAATTTAATTTTAATATTAAATTTTTTTTAAAAATTTTTAAAATAATATTGATAACTTACGCTATTCAATGTAGCTTCTTCCAATCTTTCTGCGTTCTTTTTCCACGAAAATACGTTCAAGCGTTCAGTTTCACCCTCTCTGCCGAGCTGAATTATCACATCACAACGGTCCCATAAATTACGCGGGGTAGGTGCGCGTTTACAGAAAACAACAAATCCAATGAGTTCACTAATATGAAAATTAAATTTATATTAAAAAAATTTTTTTAATTTTTTATTTTTTTATATGAAAAATTTCATTTTTAAAATATAGGATTGAAGAGAGACATTAATAATAGATTAGAGAATTAAGATTAGAAAGAATTAACGAAATAAAATTTTATTACTCAAAAACATGGTCTTTCTTCCAATCTAACAAGAGCAAATTTGTTGAAGTGCATCGCGTAACATTGTCGATTTGTGGTACTAAGCTGTAATTTTCCGGCTTGTTTGAGTACGACCGTTGACGCCGTTTTTCCATGATCTAAATTTTTATTAAAAAAGCTTTTACTAATATGAAACCGTATTTACTCGATTAATTCCCCCGAGGAATTATTTTCTCAACCCTTCCATGGCATGGGGAATTAATCGAGGGAGGGGAATTATTCGAGTTTTGGCATTTGACGTGCAGTCTTGTATTTGGGAATGGGGAATTATTGTTTCAACCCAATTCTGGCATGGGGAATTAATCGAGAAAGGGAATTATTCGAGGGAGAGGAATTAATCGAGAAAATACAGTAAAATTTTATTTTTTTGTAAAATTTTATTTTTTGTAAAAATTTTTTAAAAATTGTTTTACCTGTGCCAAAACATCTGGTGGAATCACAGGTTGAATTTGTTGTTGTTGTTGAAGTTGATTATTATTATTATTGGCCTGATTTACACGTTGTTCAGTAATAGGTGAGTCTATACGTCTTCGACTTTGAGGTTGGTAGCTTGAATCATTAGCTGATCTTTTTTTTCCAACCATTAGTTACTAAAAAATAAATTATTTTAAATTAGCTAAGTTGTTGATTAATTAAAATATTATAGTTAGAATAATGTGCTTATATATATGGACAAAGTTTTTGTTTTGAATGAAAATATTTAGATTTTAAAAATTCCTTTGTAATAAAATGCTTTTTTTTTATTTTCATTGTATAAACCAAAAAAATATATAGATTAGATCTTTTACTTAAAAAATACAATTCAACTTAAAAACTCTTTTTTATATAAATAAATTCTTTTTAAATTAAAATTACTCGTTGTGTCCAATATAAACATAAAGAATCAGAATCTCTACAAATCCTTTTGTTCTATTAGTATTTGTTTGTAGCATTCCATTAAATATTTGGTTGTTGAAATTGTTTTATTGTTGAAGTCTTTTTTTTAATTAAACATTTTGTTTGGATAGAAATTTTAAAATACCTCAAAACTGCTTCCCAAGTTTCTTTTGCTATTGGAACAATCTTTAAACGAAAATAAATTAATTTTTAAAGAGGAGTATCCCCTAATTAATTAAAAATTGTGTGTTTCTTTTTTTCAAAGTGATTATTTTGTTTAAATATTCCTTAATTTTTTCCCTCCAAATAAATACCTAATTTCCATCACGAACAGTCTTCGGGTCACAGTTCAACAACAAAAAAGAATTTAACGCCCATTCTGCCTTTTCCTCAGTCTTCGCTGTCACCAGATGCCGGATACCTGCAAAAAATACAATTTTTTATCTACTTAATATTTTCCTTCAATTATTTTATAAAAATACTAAGCGTTCTTTATAAAAATACTAAGCGTTCTTTATAAATACGAACATAGTGTCAGCACAAGTTCCAACTGTATATTTAGGTCCATAAGTTGATTACAATGCTTGAGCAGCATGTACTGCTACACTACTTTATTATTGTACCTTTTAATTTAATTTTAAATTGATTTTTAAAAAATAAATTTACATCTTGTGGATATGTACGTAATGAATGGCCAAATAGATACATTAATACATGAGAACAACTTTAAAATAAAATTTTTTAAATAAGTGTAACGTATTAATTTTTTAAATAAAAAAATTAAAAAGAAACTTCTTATATTTATTTTAATTTTATTTAATTTTTTTATCTTTTTCCTTTCAAGCCTCTTTAAAAAAGCTACCTTAGTAAAGCTCTTTTAATTATTTAAATATATGTAGAAACCTATGACATGTCATAAGTGTTTTATTCTTCCTTGCTGTTGAGAAATATTATCGCTAGCAGATTGAGTTTCCGGCTCTGAGAAAGCAAAATTCCCCTAAAAATTATTAATTAAAAATTATTTTTTACTAATAGAAATCATTTACAGCAAATATTTCAGAACAAGGATCTCAAGAAAAATCATCTTGTCCAAAAAACCAATCAAAATTTCTATTTAAATCAACACCTTGACAACATTGAGTATTTGGAGGGGTAAAAAAACCTGTTAAATAAATTTTTTTGATTTAATAGTTAAAATGATAAAATAGTTGTTCTAAGTAATTTAGGGGCTAACAATAATCAACTAAATATATAACAAACACATTAGCCCGGTTAACTAAAGATGCTGGTTTGCTCCTAATAACCTTCATTAGTTGAAAGAGAAATAGATCTAGCCCAAGATTTATTTAATTAGTTATTCAAAAACTTAATTTCCTATTTGAATATTTAATTAATTTCCTGTAGTATTTACTTCCAATTTATTTATTGAAATTAAATTCCATAAATTTAATTACCAGTATTTATTTGTGTACATTGCGTCGGTAAACGATTTTTCCTCCAAAAACGAATTTCTGGATCCCTGGAAATCTTTAAATTCAAATGATTTCTGAAAATAAAAAGAAAATAGAGTTATATAAAAAATACAAACTTTTTTAATATTTCAATCATTTCTTCACTTTCTTTGTCATATTCCATTTTTTAATATTGATCCATCCATTTCTTCAATAACAACAGCACTTTGAATAACTTTCCTTGTTATTCAATTCATAATTGAAGGAGAAAGTTTTTCACATTTATCAAAAATAACACATCGTTCCACAAAATGTTAATGGTTGTGGAAATCTTTAATTGAAATATAGATTTTATTGGAATATACAAATTTTTAATAGATATTAAGAAGGAAATTTAGAAGAAAAAAGGCTAGGAAACAACATCAAAGAAAACCTGTGCATAGGGTTCCTTTTAGCCTATCCAGTTACCAGATACATAATTATTGGGAATGAGGAAGATATTTAATTTTCACTATAAATATGGTCAACTATATAGAGTCTAGGACGTACATTAAATAGAGTTATACTAAATAGGGGATGTCTATCGAGAAAATTTTTTTCGAAAACCTTTCTCCAAATAAATAGGTTCAGATTCAGAAGTACTAGGCCTTGGTGTATTAACACAAGCAATTGCCAATTTTGCACGAATATGTTGTTTAGCTAATTCTGCTGCAGCACCACAATATTGCCCTTTTAATGTTTTCTTTTCTTCTTTCTGTTTTTCTTATTTTTTGGGAAGTATTTTTGTTGGATTGGGTTTTTGTTCTTTTACAGCAGCTTTTTGTTCAGCCAACATTTGACGTCGAAGAATTCTTCCTTTTTTTGATTAAAAATTTTTTGTATTCTTCAAAACTTGGCATAGATTTGACTCCTAATTTATCAACTATAATTTACCCAATATTCCCAGATATCTAGGTATTATAAGCACATAATCTATGGTGGAATGGGGATGTTCTCTTCACACTAATATGCTGTTTTTTCTAGCTTTCCAGACAAAATAAAACTTAAGACTGGGCAAAAAGGACATTTCGGATTCCTTTGGAAAGGTAATTGATCCATTAATTTATAAATCCTTTACATACCCTAAAATTAAGAAAATACCGTAAAATGTCTTTTTAGTAAAATATCCTCCCCAAAAATTAATAAAATAACCTTAGTAATTTCCTGAGTTCTAATAGTAGCTTGTTCTACTTTAAATCGACCTTCAGGCAATCTTAAATTAATACCAACTTTTGTAAGACCACGATTTTGCATTATTGCCTTAATAATTTCTCGTTCCATACAAAATATTTATCATTTCCTCTTTTGTTTTAATTTGAAAATGTTTAAGTAAATGCTCTTTCAGTTTGGATATCTGGAACATCTTCAATCTCGTCAATCATAGAATTGTTTAAAAATGAATTTTCAAGCATTCCATGATCAAAACAGAAAATATAACGAATTTCTATAAAAAAGAAAATTAAAATTTTCAGAATTTAAATCATAGATGTGATATCAGTGTTGAGAAAAATCGGGTTGGGTTTTGTTTCTTCGGATCGCTTTTCCGGTAGAAAAAAGTCCGGGTTTCGGATCAGGTCAGTTAGCGGAATTAAGAGAGAAAAAGTTGAGTCAGACTTTGTCAACATTTTCGTAATGAAAAAAGTCTAGGTTTTGGTTGACCCGGGACATCCCTGATATCCAGTAAAAGAAAAAAATTTTAATTCAAAACCTCATGCTAATCCAAAAAGCACCGCCTTCATCAGCTAACAAATGTCCCCAACCACCAACTTGAAAATACAAAAAAATTGAAAAGCTAAGAGAAAGTTTTAATCAACTCCATGCACACTACCATCAGACTAAAAGGAGAAAATTATTCAAAAATAATTTAAAAATTTTTTAATACCTTCAAAAGACAACAAGTAGAACCAGTACCGGCAATTAGATGAACCAGTGCCGGTAAGAACCAGTACCGGCAATTAGTCTTCAATATTTTTCTGAAGACTTCCAAAAATTTAGGTTTAATTACCCTAAAAACAAAATTAAATAAGTACACAAATAAAAAAATAAGTACACAATAAAATAAGTACACAAATAACTCAAAATTGATATTGCTAAACCTGGAAAAAATTTTTTGCTCGGGCATCGAACCGTCCCTGAAAATGTTTGGCACTCAAATGTTCTTCGCCGCGGAACGTCCTGAAAGGTTTTGGTTTTGTCTACTGTAGATGGGGGAGGGGGGGTATCAATAGGATTGGGTACGATTTGAAATTATTGATTAGTTAGAACAGGACAGCTCTGAAGAGACTGCCTATTTGGGGAGAGAAAAAAATTTTTTCTCTGACTTCTCTCACCCAATAGGCAGTCTCTTCAGAGCTCTCTTGTTCTAACTAATCAATAAGTTAATAGGGGTAATATAGTAGTCTAAATATCAAAAATGCAGGTTCACGTTTATGGCCACCGCTGTTATACAAATTATGAAAATTTTATAAAAACTTTATAACAAAATCTCACCTCTTTGTAATTTTCAGCCAGTAAATTTTTGTCAAAAATAGGTGTATAGTCTTCATCTAAGCGTGGGTGAAGTTTAAGCAATTCATTAATTTCCTCATAGCCAATATGATCATCGACACAACTCATAGTCTCGATAAATCCCGGTTCCACTTTTATTTTCAATTGAGAGGTTACTTTTCTCCTTCCTCCTTGCGATTTTGTATAATTTTTGTGACTATCTCCCAAAAGTTCTACAGCTGTTTGTATTGCCCTTTCATAAGGCGAGGCAAAAAGGTGTTGAATGTCAATATGCTTGAATCTAAATTAATTGGTTTAGATCAGTCTTACTTCTCGAGATTCTTTTTCATCTCGAGAATATTTCCTTAAGACAAGTCAACTTCCCCGCAAGTCCACAAGTGAGTCGTAATTTATTTATTAATGACAATTCTTGATATCTTGCTCAAATGCCGAGACAAGACTTATACTCCTACTTTTAAGTAAAAGCTTCGCGAGGTGATTAACTTAAACTTACACATTGTTTAATTTTGCAGCCCTTTCCATCCCTCTTTGATTTAGAGGGGAATTGTCGAGTGAAAATATTCTACCAGAGTCTTCATCATAAATGTGTCCAGCTATTTTTGCCCTCTCTTTCACTTCTTTATCATTATCAAGTCTTTCACCATGACGGACAAGCCAGATGACTCTTTTAACTTTTGGAAAATATGGAATATCATTTTGATAATCTTCATCTATAATAAATTTCATATTTAATCTGTTTTCATTTAAATTTAAAAACTTCGCTTCCCAAGCCTTCAGTTTTCGAACTAATATTTTTATTCATAGGATATTTAGTTCGATCGAACCTAAGACCTGTCTTAAATTGAGTTTTAAGCTATTTTTAGCTTTAAGCTATTTTCCTACAAATAATTGCCAACACTTGATTAACCTCCTCTAACGGGAGGTTAGGCAATACATGCACTGATAAATTTTTTAAGCAATACAGTAATCCAAACCTACCTAGATCACCATTTACTGTGACATTCTGTAATTTGTTCTTTAATGTTTCTTGACTTGTAATGAAAGTCCCAACATCAATATAATTACGTAAAAATGAATGTTTTACAATTGAAATGTTTGTGTTTATTTCTATTCCAATTCGTTCCAACATTCCATTTAAATTCCGAACCATAACATAATCTTCAAAATTCATCTAAAATAGACATATTTTATTCATATTCATAGCTAATTTTTATAGTAGAACGGTCGAAAAAATTTTTTTACCCATCCGTGAAATTAATAAAAATGAAAGCTTTTTCCGCCGCTTTGAAAGACTTACGACGGAAGGATGTTCAATCATCCCGTTATCGTTTGTTTGTCTTAATTTTTTGCTTTAATTGATTTGCCTTAATTGATAGGCTATTCAAAAAGATTTGAACTCAAAATGTATTACTGTTAACAGAAAATTAAAAAATATACATAGGAAAACCCAGTTTAAAACTTCGATAAATAATTAAAACACACTTCAAGAAGCTTTTGAATAAGATATTCAGCGATCGTCAAATATGCGGAATTTAACGATAAAGTGAAAGGACTAAGTTTTCGACGCCATCTATTATATTTATCATCCATATAATTAAGATAGCTATTTTTAATCCCTTCAATTATTTTCGCTTTTTTTCGCGTAATTCTTTCTGGAATACTCTCGCATTGTATTTCCGGGTGATCTTGCTTCCAATTGCTCAAAATTGAATAGATATTTTCCCAAGATTCCCCAGATAACCAATCTCTCAATGAAGTTGCGTTGTCTAGAAGAGGGGAATATTTTAAAATATTTTGGTTATATTCTTGTTCAAGATACGTAATTGAATTTTCACGCCATTCATTCAGACCTGATTTTTTAAACAAATTTCTTTGCAAGTTTTTCTTAAATTAAAAAATGAAATAATTAGAAGGTTTAAGACAAATTTAATATGTAGATTACAATAGCTTTAATTTTCTCCAGGCATTGGTTAATATTCTCAGAAAACGCCAAGTGTGGGTTCATAGCTTCATCCATTGAAACAACATCATCGCCTAAAATTTTAACCCTATTATGTTTCATATTTTTTAATTTACGAGGAATCGAAGGCTTTCGGTAAAATGCATCCATGTAGCATTTTGCCATTTTCAAAACATCATGCCCCATGATTTCCACGTTGTAAACTATTTAAAAAACATATGTATAATTATTCTTATAAATTTTTATTAATTGAAGTATTTTAATTCGGGATCAACCCAAAAGGTCAGAACCCAAAAGGTTTGCCATTTTCCAAACATTAATTCCGTAAATTTCAGATTTGGAAAAATCGGAAAACGCTAAAAACAATATTTAAAGAAAAAATTTTTTTTTGAATTTTTTAATTATGGAAGAGATTCCTGTTATTTTATAAAATTACCTTCTTGAAGATTGGCAAAAATAAGAAGAAATATTAAAATTAACATTTCAACTAAAAAATTTAGTTTAAAATTTAATTTTAATTTAATTTAGCTTTAATTCTTATGGCTTTTTTGTATTTTAATTAACGACTACACTGACAGTCGTTAATTTTATTAGGCATTTATATATATGATTGTCTAAAAAATTGACAAAAAATTTTATATAATTCTCCTCTAAAAAATGTATCCTATGCCCTTTTAAATTTAATGCCCTTATAAATGGCAATTTACAAAATACAAAAATTTTAAAAATTTACAAACTACGAATTAAAAAAATATAAATCGATGCTTTATATAATAAAATAAAATTTAAAAAAATTATTGGCTACGGTTGGAGGTAATCAGCAATTTACCGTTTATTAACACATAAATCTGATTATTGTTTAGAATATTTTTTGTCCCTAAGTTAACAATGTTAAGTAATTTATTGTGTGCGTTTACAACAGAAAAACAGTTTTCTTCATCTTCACTTAAAAATGGCAAAATTCGGCTCTACTCCAGTTTATGCGTCCAATCGACTTTTATGCGTCCAATGAAAGTTTATGCGTCCAATAAAAAGAAAATTGGATTTTTCTTGATATTGCACAGTTGGGGTATGGGTCCAAACCATTTCTTCATGTTCGGGACCTACGTCCACTGGGTCTAGGACCATTCCTTACCCTATACCTAGAAATTTTTTAAAGTTACAGCCAATTTTTTAAAATTTCAGAAAAACGATTATAACTTTCAGAAATTTTGAGGGGTCGGGTAAGGAACGGTCCCAGACCCAGTGGACGTAGGTCCCGAACATGAAGAAATGCTTTGGAATTATACCCCAACTGTGCAATACCAAGAAAATCCAATTTTCTTTTTATTGGACGCATAAACTTTCATTGGACGCATAAAAGTCGATTGGACGCATAAACTGGAGTAGAGCCCAAAATTCTTTAAAAATATTTTGGGTAGAAATGGTTAGAATGAGAGAGAATCTAATTTATCAAAAAATAAAGATAGTCAGCAATTTTTTGGAATCAGAATTATGTTGTGCTCAATACCAACTTTATATTTGAATTAAGAACTCTACTTCATCACAACGTAATTTTATAGAATACTGACTGCGAATGACAGAAAAAGACATACAAACAATCAGCCATGAATGTAAAAAAAGTTGCAACTATAACCCGAGGATAACATGATTATCCATAATAAATTTAAAACCGGCTTTCAAGATCCTGAATTTAAAGTGTCTAGAGATGGGGTAGTATTTTTGAAAATAAATGTTTACAAATTTATTTTTATGGTTTTGTTTAAAAATTATTATTTAAAAAATTTAAAATGAATGTCTCCATACATTTCTTTTCAATTTATAGGAAGGAATCGAGTTAAGATAAAACGCAGGCATTAAGACGCTAGCGTGATTTCCGACAAAAACTTATTGCAAATAATAATAATTTATTTTTATGATTTAGTTCAATAAACTAAAATTCCTCTCTATTTATTTCACAATTTAAGTCTCGAGACTATAATATTTCCACGTATAGTTTAAAAATTAAATAAACTTTTTGAGAGCTTATTATAGTGCCCTTTGTCTATTTTTAAATATTAAGCATTATTTTCTTTATAACCTCTCGTAAATACATAGCTATATCACCCAAAAAATAAGCTTTCAACAACTCTTTCAAAATTTATTCCCCTATGGGTATTTTATTTACATTCTAAAATTTAACAAATTTACAAACTATAAATATTTAATTTTTAAAATTTTTATTAATAGAATTTTTAAATTATTTTAAATTGGTTTTCATGCAGAATTAATAAAGAAATTTTGCTTTGAATTTTTGAAGGGCAACAAACAAACGACTCAAATTAATTTTTGTTTTAATCTCAATTTTTTAAATTAGTGTTACGACAACTATTTAATTAAACTTTATTTTTAATTAAATATTTAAAAATCGGTTATCCTTACCTTAAATTCACTTAGGAATGTCTTTTAAAACTATTCTTTTAAATTTTTTAAATCTATTACAACTTAATTTTGTATAATTTACATTAAAACTAAACTCAAACTTCTATTTAAAAAATTTATAATCAGAATATGATGAATAAACCAAAAGTTATGTGCGGGAACTGAAGGAGAGGATGGACGAAGTGCATAATAGGGTTAGTGTCCGCAAATTTTCAAAAGGTTTTTCAAATTAGTTTTAAAATATATTTAAAGGTCAACAATCTTATAAAACTGGTATAAAAAAAGGAATAGATGAGGGAACAATTAAACAATTAACTACTCTTAATGGATCATTCATGTTGAAAGATAGTATGAATAAATTGAACAATAATAATAATGAGGTAAAATTAAAAGAATCAAGACAACTAGAAAACTGTGTTGATAATATGCAAAAAATGAATTTAAAAACTACTCAAGAATGTAAACAACAAATTAAAGATATAAAAATTTATAATAAAACCTTTAAACTTGAAAACTCTACTGTTATGGGAAATATTTCATCAAAAATATATAATGTCGAAAAGGAAGTTAAATTTATTAATGAAGTTAAATTTATATTTATTTTGCTTATTAGGAAGTTAAATTTATTATTTAATTAAATAAAAATCACCATATCGATAGGTGCAGCATAGGAGATGGCAATTAAATCAGTTATGTTGGGAATTTAAGAACTAGCTTAATTATGAAGGGCTAAGTAAGGAAGGAACAAATAAGGCCCAAGGAACAACCACCAAAAACATTGACCAAAAGCACAAAAATTAAAAAAGGGAAATCAAAAGAAATTACAAAAAGTTGACTATTAAACCCTGCAAAAATTTAAAAAACTTAGCTGGACCTCCCTTCTTCTCAGTATAACAAAAAACAAAAATTGAAAATAATTAAAGAATAATTTAAATTTAAATAAATCCTAAAAATTAAAAATTGGGTCGAATGAAGAAAATTTGGAAAAATATCGCTTTAAAAGTAGGAAAAATATCTGTGAGAATTAAATGTCACAAAAATACAAACCGCCAATGTTTTGCCGATTCAACGGTCAAAAATGTCAACGGTCACAAAATTTGCTTACAGGAGAGGAACTTATCGAGTGGCCCCCGAAGTGGGATGGCATATAATTATTAATTAAATTTTTATTTACCCCGCGCCAATTTTCTCAATAAAAGGGAAGCACATATATTTATTACCCTCCTTATCCCCAAACTCCACAACTTACTGCCTATATTTTTCCCAATATTTACTTTATACATTATTCACTCTTAATCCCTTGAAATTAATCAGTTGAGATATCCCTGAACAATTAGTTGAGCTGTTAACCTTCGGATATCCAAAACACAGTTTTACAACATCAAAATTTGCTGTGTGTTTTCATTTCTTTTGCTGTTTTAAAAATAATTAAAATAATCAGAATAATATTTAAATGAAAACAAATTAATAATAAAAAAAATCAAATTTAAATAAAATATCAAGTAAAGCAGAAGACATTTTATTATTTTCTTATGTAATTTTTTACCCACAATTAGCTTAAAACAGTAATCTTTTTTATATTTACCCCTCACGATACCGATTATGCTGATAGCGATACCGAAAAGTAAACACGATTTATTTAAAATTTAAAAAGAGATCTAATTTAGAATAAAAATATTTGAATTTATTTACAATTTAATTTTAAAATTTAATAAAAGAAATTATCTAAGTTTATCGTTAACGTTTTTGAATTGGTTCGTGGTTTACTATTTGGAAACTTCGGGTTTGAGTTTTTGGTTTGGGCTTTCATTCTAGAATATTATCAATCATTCGATCAACAGAAAGATTATGTTTATGATGGATTAACAACGCTTGGAATTTGATTATGAATTTTAGGTAGAACATGAATTGTACTCGTTTGTTGTTGTACTCCAAAACATTTGAACAAAGCAAAATGTTTAATTTTATTGAATTCCTTCTTATAAGCTTTTCGGTAGTCACAACTTAAAACAATAATTATTATTTTTTTGTACTTAAACACTTATGTTGTGCTATTTGTTTAAACAATAAAAGATTATAATTACTCATTGACCCTAGGAATCATGAATATTAATTACTTTGTTTTAAACATAAATAATGAGCCTCTTGAGTTAAAAATTTATAAATTTTATTACCCAACCGATTTACTTAATTTTTTTTATTTAATTAACAATAATGTTTTGTATCGTTATTGCAATTTTTTCATTACTACAGAATATAAAAAAGTTACAGTATATTTCCCAAACCATATCCAAAATTTATTTTTGAACCATATTTTTTTAACCTAAATCTCATGCTTGTACCTTAATTTTAAAATACCTGTAGTTTGCTGATAAATAAATAAATAAATAATTAATATATCTTACTACAGATATAACGACTTTTAAAGCCACTCTAGCCGTCAAGATATTATAAGATTGAGATTGTCTATTTATCCCAGAGCTATCAGCTAGTGGGTCTTAGTTTACCGGCCATAAAGTTTAAAATAAATGACTATGACCAAGCTACAAAGCATTACGTATATATAAAAATCACTAACCTATTTAAAAAAAGAATAAGAGCATTAGCTGCACCTCCAATATTCACAATTAACACAATAAACATTTGCAGCAAAAATAAATTTATTGGGTTAGTGGAGCTATCAGCTAGTGGGTGATAAACAAAAGTTCCAATCATTAAACCGAATATATAAAAACCAATATTTACAAAAATTATAATAAGTATAGATCTGTAAATCTTCTTCATAAATTGTTCTGATGTGTCTAAACGAGGAAAATTTTTTTTGAATTTTATTAGAGCCGAATCCATCTTAATTTTCACCTATCAGATAGAATAAACCTAGTAATTTATTAAAAATTGCTCAGCATTATTCTCCCATATGTTCCCCTATGATCAAGTTGAATTGAGGTTCAACTCACACGAAGATAAAGGAAAAATCCCAGTAAATTAATACCTTTTTTAGTTATTAGAATCAATCCAAGCAAAAAGTAACAAAATAGCGGTGGTATGTACATATACAGGCTCGATAAAAAATTCATAATTTTACTATCATAGGTAATCATAGCCAAGGTATCAGCTATATTTCCTGTTACTGGCCAGTCAGGATATTGTATAGCAACATATATCATTCTATAGAGTATGAAACAGCTAACAGTAATTAGTACTGATGCATGGCAATAAATATAGTGTTTCTTCTTTAGATTCTTATAGCTGAAAGTTTACAAATTATTTGAATTCTAGTGAAATATGAAATTCTTGCTAAGATTTAAATATGTAGATATAAATAGAAGAGTTAGAACATAGATCTTATCTACAAATACCTTACAAAAATTTAACATCGTAAATTAACCTCTTACTATTAAATTCTCATAAATAAACTTACTATATTGGAAAAGCCGCTGCAATTAATCGGTCTAAACTAAGCAAACTAAACATAACCAACATAGAGAAAAACCCTATCAGAGAATGTGTTTGAAATATTACAGCTATTTTAAACGGAATAAAATTTATTCCGCTGCCAGATACGAACAGAAAAAGGAAATGTGAAGATTCATGTAAAATTTCGAAGCAAGAGTTCATTATTAATAAAATTGCAGTTTTACTTTTAAGTGCAGAATATTTGTTCCTTAAAAGTATTTTCGTATAAAAATCCCTAATATTTAATTATCACTCTCAATACCGATATTTGTGAGTAATATAACAAATACTAGAATTGCAAATAATTCCAACAAATCCCACTATTGCTAATGGCAGTGCTTGACCAAAAAATTCCAATTTTATTCCAGCATTTTTATTCGCCAAATAATTTGACTGAATTAAGGATTTAATTAATTTTTAATATATGTAACTAATAAATAATACATCAGTTGAAGGCCTGCTCATTTCTATGAAAAATTATACTTGAATCTTCCTTCTTAACAATTCGAATTTGTTATTTTTTGTCAAATTTTGAAAATTTTCTTAAATTTCTATTATTAAACTAAAGCTAATTTCAATTTAGATACCGTATTTCTTCTAATAGTGCGACCGGTCGGTTTATTTTTCAACCTTCCTCTAAGGGGTCAGTTTATTAGAAGGTATTATAGAGTCTATTAGATACAGTCGCACTATTAGAAGAAATACGGTATCTCAACCCTTAATGGCATGTTTTTTTTCTTTATTACGCCTCCACAATTTGTCCCAAGCTAGATGACTTTTAAAGATTTTGAGAATACTTTTTTAAAAGACAATGAAATGTCACAAATAATTAGCAATTTTGAATTCAAAGAAAAAATTTTAAATATTAATTCTGTTTAACTTTCATCTGCTTAATTAATGTTTAAATTTCAATATAATTGTTGGTTATTTTAATAAATATCTTTTAAATACAGATGTCTAGTAAAATAAATGTAAACAAAATTTAATAAATATTTAAATAAGTTTATAAAGTGCAAGAAAATAATATTAAAACAAAGTAAAAATGGAAAGAAAATAAAATAATTTCTATAATTTAGATTGATATTTAGATTTTATTGTTTTCAGCATTTTAACGAGTCAATGGAATTCACGGATCATTATAAATAAAAAAATTCAACATCATTGTGTTAATGCATAGATACTAGTGATGTTCGGGTATCCCGATCCCGACTCGGGAAAATTGCCCGAGTTTTTGGCCTCCCGATCCCGACTCTCGAGGTTAATTCCCGACTAGGGAAGTTATACACCCCTAAAAATTGCTTTTTTGGTAAAATTTTATGTTTGAAAGGAAAAAAAATAAAGGGAAAAAGTAAAAAAAGGTGATAAAGAACCATATGAAATAGAATTCAGTACTTTTCGGTTGTACGCCACTGAGTGCCATCCGACATTGATTGAATATGTGAATTTTTTTAAGCTAGATACAAATCAAATAAATCTTAAATCATTCAAAAGCCCTCGATACGCGGTACCTTTTTTCTATAGGTTATTTCAAGTCTGATAACTCATTTAAAAGATATAACAAAAATAATTCCAGTTATTAGCTATTTTCACATTTATAGGGTTATAACTTTTTAACAAGTAATCAGATTTATTATACATGTGGAAAAATTCATTGGAATTTTTGTGCCACCATCCAACCCGATGATTGGTTATTTATTTTTATTTATGTTCTTTTTGCAAGTGCGGACACAAAAAGACTTAATCCAAAAAGTTGGAAAAAGATTCCTCTTATCGAGGACTTTCGAAGATAAAAGATTTGTTTGAATTCTAATAAAAGATTGTATCCCGAACGTTTTTGGGTGTAACTGGATTTTTGGGTGTAACTGGATATTTCTTAACTTCGTAAAATTCCAACAAAATCGTTGTAAAATTTTTTGAATAATCTTAAAAAATCCAGAAGCTTCTAACAATCCATTTATATCATAAACGGTAAAAATCCTTTATTTTCAACGTGCTATCAATTATTAAAATGTCGCTCGAGTGGGGCAGGTTCGGGGTACAATTCTATCTAATAATGAGAAATTTGCGGATTCGCACATGCGGTATGACATACACACAAGTCCGATCCGCAAATGCCGTCACCCGGAAAAATAAAACTTCATTCTGCAACTTTCACACATTCCATTTAGTTAAAAAGATTAACATGTATGTGTATAACACCGGCAAAAACCAGTATAGACAAAATTATCACAGCAACAACAATTCCTATAACTAACATATAAGTCATTATATGAAGTGGATGTGTTGAACAGTTGCTAGAGCGTTTACCACGAATTTCTGAGTGTTTTTTAAAAACATGATGTACGGCTATAAAAGATAAAAATCTAATTTTTTGTATTTTAAGCATTAAATTGAAGAGGAAGACTAAGCGTTAATTCCAAGATTATACTAAGAAAAATTTTTTGAGTCAATTTGATAATGAATCATGAACATGACTCTTATTTCCTGGATGGTTTTTTTAAAATTTGCTTAAAATAATTTATACTTACTATTCTTTCCGCTAGTCTTCTTGTCGTTGATGCATTCATTACTTGGTGGGATTTCAAATTTAAAAATGAAATGCTTCAAAATTGAAATTGCGTTTAATTTTGTTTCACCGTCAATCTCATTATTTTTAAAACTTTTCAAGACTTCAAGAATATCATTCAAATAGGTTACATTGTTCAATTTTTCCCCGTTAATCATATCAATTTTATTATTGTTGTCATTATCCATAAATTTTTGATAAAGTGCTTTAGCTGCATCTTTAACAGTCATAAGTTGATCAAAAATATTTCCAAAATCCCCACGAGACAAGTTTTTGACATAGTTCAACAATGTGTTGATGTTTTTGAGTTGATCGTTATTTTGATTCTATGAAAGATTTATTAAACTTTTTGATTTTAAGTGATGTAAATTTTGAATTATTTTCAGAATTATTTTATTTAAATTATTTTCAATCAAAGGAAAGAAAGGCAAGCGAGAATAATGCAGCTAAAATGATTTTTTCTTAGATACCTTTTGCGGACATTTAGATAGCGAGCTAGACTTTTACCCAAAATTTAGATTGATTTCAAACCTATCAAGAGCTATCTTATAGTATAAAATAATAAGTAATATTACATTAACAAATTGAACGGATCCATTCAAAACTTCCTCGGCTTTTTTGGCTAGTTCGGCAACATATATTTTGTCATTTTCATTGTTGTTCCCAATCAGGTTTGACGGAACAATTGGAACTCTGGCGCTTCCTTGAAGAGTTACATTAACCCTACCATGAACGTAATTAATGCAAACAAAATTAAGGAATAATAAAGCAAATTTCAAATGCATCTCTATAATTTAAAATTATCTTAGTTATTTTAAAACATTCAATTAACTTATCATCCTAGTGTCATAATTTAAAAAGAAACTTGTATTATTTACATACGAAATTAAGAAAAGCCAAAACTTATTTTTATATGTACATAATTCTAAAATTAATTTACTAAATAAAATAAAGAAAGTGGGCAATTGAGGGCCTGATTTTGCAAGGGAAGGTTAAAGAGGAGAGAAGGCAAATTAGATGTAAGGAAAGGAGTGGATAGTAAATTTTAGAGCGAGGTGGAGAGTAGAGAGATGGAGAAAGTGTCTTCATTTCTTGTGTCTTCACTTGTCTAATTTAGTGTGTAGCTGTCTACATATAATTGATATATGACAGGTGAGAAAATCACAAGGCTTCAAAGGGATTAGGGCATGTCTTTAAGACTTTGAAGGTAAATGCTTTGGACCAACTTTAGGACATGCGTCCCATGAGCCATGAGACTTTTATGAGTCCCAAAAGGTTTATATGCTCTATCATAATAATGCGGATTTTCGGATTTTTGTGGTCTTTTGATGATTCTGAGGGTTTTCAAAGTTTCAAGATTTAAATTATGTCTAATTACACTTTCAACTTTGATCTTCTCAGCGGACCTAAAGTAAATAAGACTAAAATGAAATAGATATGTTAATAGATACAGTGAAATGGTTGTGAAAGCTTTCTCAGCCTTGCGCAAGACTGAGTAATGCACTTTATTTAACGAATGCCCTTTAATGAATGCCGTTAGTCATATGTAAAATCAATTTATATTTTAAAAAAATTTATTTAAATGTCTGGAAAACAAGTGCTTTTTAAAAATTTTGAAATGTACTTTTGATTTTGAATATTTGAAACTTCTCGGTTATATTTCTTATAAACAAATTAGCCAGAACTATTTAACTCACCAACAAACTATGCATATATGATCTAATTATCTTCGATTTAATTAAAGTTATGTCAGAAAAACTTTGTCCTAGTCTTTTTGGGTCAATTATTGTACCTACCATATTTATTGTGCTATTGATGCTATTGATGCTATATATTATTGATGCTATAACTTCGTACAAAATTGTCGGATCCGGAACGCCCTAGGAACTATAGCAGGTTCTCTCGGATTCGACAATTCTGAACGAAGTTATAGCTCTGCGGTAAGTTGGGCTCGGTGTAAGTTGGGGTGTACCCTAAATATATGTAAATAAGTCGAAGCCGAGATCTCGAAAAAAAACTAGGCATTGATCTCAAAATTTTGTAAATATCAATCTCATATCTCGATTAGTTTACTCTTTCTATTCATCAATTCTTAACTGGTTCAACTACCGAACTCAAATTCATTCTCTTAGTATTAACATCTCTTGTATTAGCTGTTCTAATATTTCCAATAGTTGAAATTTTTGTTTCTTCAAGAGGTTTTCCAAAAAATAAATGTTTAAAAGTATTTTTGAATGCTTTGTTGTAGTCCTTACTGAAATTAAATTAATTAATGACCGAAATTTCTCTAAAGCAGACCCATTTTTCGATACCCTTTGGGAACAACTGATCTTAGAAAACGCACTTTTAGAGGAAGGCATTTCAAGAACTTTTTAAAAGGTTTATTTATGAGAACTTGAGGTATATTGTTTGAATGATATCGAAGGGCGGCTAGACCTAAGGGGAACATAGGTATCTACACACTATTTCTTTTCTGATAAAAACGTTAAATAGTCGACTTCAAATCATGTTTAAGGATTAAATACAGCTACTCAGACTAAATAAATTAAATTTCCAGCGAAGATACTTTTAACAAATTTGGTACAATTAATAGACT